AGGGAGTCACTCTTGTTGTGCACATGGCCCTCCAGCTTACACCTGTCTGGTTCTGATCAGAGCGGGACCAACAGCTCAGCTCAGAAATGCCGTTTCCTTAATTTTTTTTTATTCAAGTGTAATAACATACAGTGTCGTATTACTTTCAGGCGTACAATACAGTGGTTCAGCAATTCTGTATATGATGCCGTGCTCGTCACCATACACGTCCTCCTAGTCCCCTCAGTGCTATTTCTTTCACCATTAAAAGAAAAACCCACTACCAAACCAAATCCCAACCCCATCTTAAAACACATTTAAATTATTTATGATATCTTACTTTTTAGAAATATGTTTCTTTTATTATAACAAGGCTCAGTTAATAAAATTACTAACCAAATTAGAAAGACCATTCTCTTCGATGAAAAAGTAAAAGACTCACCATATTTTAAGTAATAAAAACTGAGGTCTTCTATTATAACACTCAGAGAATCATGAATATGTGCCTTTAAACTAAAACAGCGTCTTACCCCAAGGCACACTTACAAGATCCTTAGAAGCAATAAAAAGCCACCTTTCCTCTTAACTACGGTAGCCACAGTTAATTGAAAAGGCGATATAAAAACAGGCTGGTGAGGAATATAAAAATTCCATCCTTTTCAACAAAGAAACAATATATTCAGAGCATAATTTCCAATTTAATTCAAGGAAACAAAATATTTGTCCTGAATTTAAAAAATTAATAACAAGATGTATAAAACCTTTCTGCTAGGAAACACACATGAATTGAATTAAGTTGTCAACTTTATCAGTACTTAACCTCCAGACATCCAGAGAAAAGAAGGTATTTATTTCACATAAAATATATAAGATGGAATAAAAATTATTATGAGCGTACCATTAAATATCAGAGGGTGGCTGTGGCAAACATCGCTGCCTGCCAGTAACTGTTTTCCCCTCGGCCTTCTCAATAGAAGTCCTGCTTTGTCCCTGGCGGCAAATGTGCAGCTAAAGCTAAAGCTAGGGATGTAGGTGACATGTGTCGGCGGCAATGACATTTATTGGAAGCCTATTGGCTGGGCTCAGGGAAGCTGTGAGGTATAAAATGTGCCACATTCAGTGGGCACAACCCTTTGCCTGTCACCCCGCCCTCTGTCGTGTCTGGTGGCCTGTGCAAAGACATAGGAACCCTCAGGCAATATACAGGAGCAAGCCTCACTCTCAAATGGCATCAACCTGGCCTATGTGCAGTCTGTTGGCTCGTGATGGGAGGAAACTGGCTCATATGCTTGGCTTTCTAGTCCCTGTTTCTTAAAAATGAAGTCAGTTCCCAAACATAAAATTCCCATATTTCCATCCTGAGGGAATTTCTTTCTGTAGGAATGACCTGGCCTTTTTACCCTGATATGTGTTGTTCAGGGTTTCAGATTCAAGTTTCCCTGTTCTTGATACTTTCCTAAGGGGGGAGATTCAGAATCACTTGGTACAGAAGAGTCCCGACACGTAAGTTTGAGTTCATTATGCCATCAATTAAATGCCTGTTTTATACCAAACAGGTCACATTGTCAGTAAATGGTGATGCCTTCAGTTTTGTTTTTCCAGCATGTCTGTGCTCCAACTCTGCACACTGACATGCGTTCCCTTCTGTATCTGCTCAGCTGCACCACTGAACATTGAGCATTGCTAACAAGAGGTTCAGGAGACACTTGTGTGTGAGACTGCAGTCCAGGTGGCAGGTCTTTCCTACCATAAATAAGGTTTCATATCCACACCCTGCCTTGGCCTCCTGGTGGGCAGCATGCCTTTTCCTGCCCTGTGATTTGTTCTGAGCCATGTGATGGGCTCTGGCTAGTAGACATGAGCAGACAGGTCATAAACTAAGGCTTGAATGTGATTGTGCTTATTGGGCTTATTGGGCTTCATCCACAGCCATGCAGGGACATGCCCCTGATGGCCTACTGGGCCACAGAGAGTGAGGGAATGGGGCACACCTGCATCTAGTGTGAGGCACAAAGGAGTGTCAAGCTGAGCCCAGACTAGACTGTCAACCCCAGCCAACACAAAGCAATATGAACAAGAATAAACAAGGGCTGTTCTAAGCCATGAATTTTAGAGAGGCTTATTGACAGCATTTTAGTAAAAGAAGGCTAAAATAACTTTTTAGAAGGAAGAAATAGCAAAACTGGCTAAATATCTAATTAGTCAAAAAGGCTTTTTACAGTTTTGATCCATGTACTATTATATGATTAGGGAGAAAACCATCATCATCATCATCATCATCACCATCCCTATCATTGCCATCACCATCATCACCATCGTCATCAGCATCACCATCATCATCATCACCATCACCACCATCATCACCATCATCACCACCATCACCATCATCACCATAAGGCCCTAACTTTAGTGCCGCATGCATTCTTACTTTCTGGGGCAGCTTTGTCGCTTGCGTGATGTCTCGGTCCCCTTGGCAGTTCATGATTATGTCAGTCGTTTCCGTGCACTGATTCAAAAACAGCTGATGACTTTCACCTTGATAACTTTAAAACATTCCAGATATAACATTTATGGGCATGATTTGTGAGTTGCTCAGTATACTTCTAAAAAATCCCTAACTTGGAAGTTTTTGACAAGGATGCAGGAGACCCTTTTTAAACATGAGCAGAGTCGGGGAGGGAGGCATCTATCACTAAAAATGACCTCACTTGGTATGTAAAGGAAAAGAGATTTCTGTTTTAGATTTGAAATCTTCACGCTTTGCAGCAGGAACCATCTGCTCCAGGGCATGCACTCTGGCTCACTACCTTCCATGCTCACCTGGACTCTCCTGCTCACCCCTCCTTATTGGAGCTCCTTCAGCAACTAGAACCCCTCACCCTCTCCTCCCTGCTCCAGAACCCTGTCCAGGGCCCACTCCATCTACGAGCAACCCTACGAACTGGGTTTCCCCACTCCATTCCCAGTATGGTCTTTCCTGCACGACTGACTTGCTAAGATTGAGTTTTACAAAGATCACTCTTTTCTGAGTAGACAGAAAACTGTGCAAGAGCGAAAATCTTAGCAGAAGGCAGTAGAGAATTCGAAAGGAAGCATGAGTGCTTAAAAAGCGACAGCAACAGCCCAACTAAAATGTTTGGGAGCCCAGCCTGGGACGGGACATTGGGACTGGAAAGAAAAGGAGAGCTGGCCTCAGGTTTCTAGTTTGGGGCTTAGTGAACAGCAATAGCTTTAATCAAAATAAGAACCTTCTTTGTTCCTTCTGTAGCCTGCCACAGCATCTGGCAGCATGAGGTGTATTCGGCAGCCCTCGCTCAGGTCTTCGCGAGTGAGTGACTACTTCCCGTGATGGGGCCAAACACTATATCCTTTGTGCCAGGCCCCGAGCAGGGCACAGTCCCACTTGCACGATCTTCACCCGGAGGTGCATTCTGCCACCCTCCCTGTTTTATGGAGCAGGAAACTAAAGCACAAAAAGTTTAAGTAACTTGTCCAAAGTCACGGCGCTGGAGGGGCAGAGTCAGGATTCATTCACTGCAGCCCAGATCTGCTGCCTTTGCCTCCTCGACTGAGACAGCGTTAGGATTCAGCAATTAGAGATGGCTGTTTGCCGGAAAGAAAACAGTATGCAGGGTTTTTGATAGCATATTTTATTTGAATCTAAGAAAAAAAATGATTAAATTCGAAGTTCAGAAATATAAAGGGTTATCCAATAAATTTAGGATTTTAACTGTTTCTTAAACAATGATGACACACACTTAAGCTGGTTCTGTGGCTCCCAAGTTTCGGGTTTTACTTCCGTACGGTTTAAATAAGTAAGAAGCCTCATAAAATATCTTCATGCAGACGCACAGAGATCATTTTACATGACGTGTGTTGGGGGATTTGGGGCCGTGAAGATTGTTTTTCCAACCAAAAGTTGGAGCTGAAATAGCATCGCCACTTGGCCCACACAGCCCTCGGACCGTCCTCCAAATGGCTCCATCGAGCCAGGGGACGCTTGCTGGGGTCCGCTGGTTGTAGCTGCGGGCCAGTCCTGCTGCTCACACTGTGGACATTCAGTGCCTGACCCTGCTCTCTCAAGTGCCACTCGGGTGAATTTCCTGAGGCCACCAGGAAAGAAGGAAGCTGGGGACCTGCAGGCACTTGTTCAGCATCCAGCACATGGCTGATTTGTGCTGGCTGAGCCTTCTGTAAGGAGGACACCCCAAATTTGTTCAGGTGGTAATTTTACGTTGCAATAGGCCCCAGAGTGGCCCAGGGTGGGATGGCTAGTGGACACATGTAAGAGAAGACGCAGGGCAGACAAGTGCTGGCGGGGTCACGCTCTAAGTCTACTTCTCTGAACGATGGGCCTGTTTACGCTGCTTCTGGACAGCAGGGGGAATCCTCTAGTATTTACTGCGTGATTAATCCGAGCCTCAGGCAAAGCTCAAACAGAAGCTTCAAAAGGAAAAGCAGCACACCAAAGAGAGGTTGAAAAAATTGTCTTTTCTACCAGGGCGCTACCTGGAATGATCAGATTGCTTTAGTGGTTGCGTGACTCATCGCATGAACGGGATCTCTGCACAGCAAAACTAAACAAACTAACACAAAATTCCAAGAAACAAACAAACCCATGCACTTGTTAGCTGCATGATGAGGACAGCAGCAGGTTGCAAACTTCTAGGGAAGCTTCCGGCGTAGATTCAAAAATGCTGTGGGCACAGCCGATCTCAAAGGAAGCGAACGTGGCTTGACTAGGAGTGAGTGCCCGGGGCGGGGAGGAAGGCACAGGGCAGGGACCGCGTGCCTGAGGCTAAGATTTCTACTATGTCAACATGTGTAGGATAAAGAAATTAAGCTCAAAGCCATTCAAAATACATCTCCACCAAGTACAGATTTCCAAGGTCAAAAGAGGACACATACATTGTATGTGATTAGTTTTCTGAAACCAGCCCTTCCATTTCACAGATTAAAGCAGTCTGTTTAAATATCTCATTTCTACAAAGTGAATTTACATTTAAAGTACAAAGTGCAAATACTATGTGTTTGTTTTTGTTTTTAATTGCTTTTTGGTGAGGGAGTCTCCCACATGTCTAGGAACCGCCTGGGATGTGTGAGCCACTATCCTTGCTTCCTTGGCTGAAAAAAAGAAATGGAGACATCATTAGGAAAAGCATCATTGGACATCCCTCCTCATCTGTGAAGACTAAGGCTTGCCTTCTAGGGATGACATAGTCGACCTGTTGATACAGGGCAAAACCAATATATATTTTTTTTAATGCAAAAAGAAAGAGTGCTGGTTTGATATTTTTGGGTGTAAGGATCAATAAAAAAACAATGCAAACATTAAATTCCAACACTTCCCTCCCTCTCAGTGATTAGGAATATCAGAAAGACCCACTGGCTGAGAAACTTAGCATTTGCTTTAAATATTTCGATTCAGTACATTAAATGTTCCATGCAGTCTCTTGTCACCTTGGATGTTATACAAAATAATTTTAATAATCTAGCTTATGCTTCAAGTTTAATAAAGGCATCATTGATTTTTAATTTTTCTTCTCATCCTTTCCATTTACAAGTTTATCTCCCCAGGAAGAAATGCAACTTGAAAGGTTTATTTGCTAATTACAGGAATTCTGCACCCTGGCTGCCAGTTGAAAGCAATTTGGAATGAAAAGGAAAAGCGATCTACCATCTTCTAGATCTAATTTTCCAAGGGTACCAATTGATCAAGGGTACCGATATGAATTGATCCATGCATCTGCTTCATCATTTAAAATAATTAAACTTAAATACTTAGAAGGCTTCTAGGCTGGTTTTCCTCCCCACGATAAAAATACTAGTAGGTAGTTGGAAGAGAAAGGAGCGTATCTCCTGCTTGGAGCTAATGGGAAGTTCTGTTTTGATTTGTTGTGGTTAAAGATAAGCCATCAGCGGATTCCTCGGTTCTGGAAGCGTGTCAGAACTGTTGCAGGAGGGGCGCCTGGGTGGCTCAGTGGTTGAGCGTCTGCCTTTGGCTTAGGTCATGATCCCAGGTCCTGGGATCGGGTCTTGCATCAGGGAGCCTGCTTGGTGGGGAGCCTGGTTCTCCATCCCCCTCCGCTGCTCCCCTGCTCCTGTGCTGTCTCTCACTTCTATCAAATAAATACATAAAATCTTAAAAAACAAAAACAAAAACAAAAAAAACTGTTGGAGGAGACAGGGCTGACATCCTAGCCCACATCCACGTTGGTGTGGGGGCATGGTGGCCCACCAGGGACATGAGATCATCAGAAAGCTCCACTCACTGTCTGATCCAGTACTGGTTCCGGTATCATCCCAGCTCCCCTTTATCCAACGTTTCCTGTCTGGTTATTCACATAGTGAAAGATTTTGGTGTTCGGTCCTATTGTTTATTCTTCAAAGAAACATCTATGGCCTTCAGTCATTTTATCATGTGCAAGCCACAGCTGGCCTTGGCCGGGGACTTAATCCAAGGGTCACAGTTTACATCAATGGCTGGGAAGTCAGTCACTATCCGAACACCATAAAAAGAGCTGGAGAAGCTGTTCTGGCTCCGTTTTCTGGGAAAGAGCCGAAGAGGGAGGCTTGCATCTTGAGCAGAGTTTACTCGCAGTGGAGAGCAGTGCATGTGTGGCAGTTGTCACTACTGCAGGCACCTGACCTGCGCTAACGGCTTCAGGCCAGCCCTGTTCTAAAGCATAATACAATGGAATATTACTCAGCCATTAGAAACAACAAATACCCACCATTTGCTTCAACGTGGATGGAACTGGAGGGTATTATGCTGAGTGAAGTAAGTCAATCGGAGAAGGACAAACAGTGTATGTTCTCACTCATTTGGGGAATATGAATAATAGTGAAGGGGAATATAAGGGAAGGGAGAAGAAATGTGTGGGAGATATCAGAAAGGGACACAGAACATAAAGACTTCTAACTCTGGGAAATGAACTAGGGGTGGTGGAAGGGGTTGAGGGCGGGGGGTGGGGGTGAATGGGTGACGGGCACGGAGGGGGACACTTGACGGGATGAGCACTGGGTGTTATTCTGTATGTTGGTAAATTGAACACCAATAAAAATTAATTTATAAAAAAAAAAATAAAAAAAAAATAAAATAAAATAAAACAGTGAACATAAAAAAAAAAAATAAAAAAATAAAAAAGGAAATCCAAAAAAAAAAAAAAAATAAATAAAGCATAAGTGATTTGTGGTAGGACTTAAAAAGCTAAAACCCTAAACACTTGCTAAACAAAGAAAACCATATCACATGGCTTTCCTAATGAAATGGTTTCAAGTTACATTGAAGGTGTGCACTGGAGGTCTCCACTTAAAACCCACAACAAATGCAGGGCTTGCCTTAGGAAATGTCAACCAACATCAAACAGGGAAGACCAAATAAATTACAAATTGGCGAGTGGTCATAAGAAGGGGGAATTCTGCCTTGGCTTTGAGGGAGGGAGAAATGCATTCACACCTGTGGATCCTCTGGAAAATATTCTAGACTTTGGACAGGTGTGCATGGGGTGCTGGGGAGAGCCAGCACAATTATCTGCTTTAATTGCACCTGCAGAGACACAGGAGTCAGAAACACAGAAATATGTTTGTAAACACACACAGGCAGGAAACTGAAAATCCCTTTTGGAGCAGAAGATATGTCTCATTAAGATCCCCAGATGAAAAGAGAACATTCACCTGAATGCCCAGAGGGTCTCCTGTCCCTGCAATCTCCTTAACAAATGATAAGAAATAAATTGCACAACCCTGGATAATCGTTTGTAAAAAAAAAAAAAAAAATTCCACAAAACAACCAGTTTTGAATTTTTTCTAAAAATATCAAAAATGATTGAAATTTCAAATAGAAAAAAAAGACAAAATCTTTACGTTGATGACTTCACAAGTTGATTTTGATGAAATTTTGAGGCTATTTTTAGCCTCATGGGGGTATGTGCATGTTATGTTGCCTCGCCTGGATGGTTTCCTTTTTGGGAAGGCACTTTCCAAATCTACAGGACCCTAAGCTGTCATTGCCTACGATTAAACCCGTAAATTATTAATGCTAAAATACAGACGATAATACTCACCTGTCTATTAGAGGCGCTTTCAGCATTAGCTCTAGGGGCTAAGGGAGGAAAGAAAAAAGACACTATTAAAAACCAAATACTCTTTAGCTCATGAAAGTTTCAATATAATTTTTCAGGAAAAGATCAAAATCACTCTACGAAAGTGTCATCAACTGGCAAACTTATTTACAAGAGAAAATGGTAATAGAGAGAAAGCACAGGTTATCTGTGGTGGCTTATAAATTCATGATGTACACACTTTCTCAAATTACAGATGCTCTAGTCCAAACATAGAAAAATGTTTCTAAACATTTTTTACCAAAGCTTGCAAAGCACAGTGGACTAACCTGAGACCTTTCTGACCCTGTGAAACTCTCCCAGGGGGTGTGAGGGCCTAGGCATTGTGGAACACCAGATCTTTGACATCTCCTGGGTTTTTCATATTTAAATCATGAGAAACTAACATGTCCAGCTCAAAATAAGTTTTCCAAATCCTTGAGGGAAATGGAAGGTGGAGGGAGATGCCTGAGATGCATAGTGGTTGCCATGTGGCCTCACGGTAGGAGGCTCAGACCCGGCCCCATGGTCACCTCCCATGTCCCTCGGGCACTCCTGGGGTCCAGCTCCTTAGCACCTGCCTTCCTCCCTGGCTCCTAGGATGACTGTCCACCTTCCCAGCTTCCCTCCTTCCTCCCCTCTGGCTCCTCCCACCCTCCCGGCCCACTGAGAGGGTCACCCCAGCAAGGAGCCACAGGCAGCAACACCACAGATAGAAATATGAGACCACCAGAGAGAAGAGGACTGTTTCATAGCCACCTGCCTGGTGTGGCGTTCAGGGACAGTCAGGAGTGTTCACATCATAGGTAACAACTGCTACCGACTGCTCCGGGCGACCCAGGAGAGGACAATCTGTCCGTCAGGCAGTGTGCCTGGAAGGCACCCTGCTAGCATGGCAATTTGTTTGAAAGAGATAATTTGGTCAAAAAAGAGTATTTCTTAATTGGCGAGTTTCTGTGTAACGGTCATTTTGGAGAATAACGAGGGAATGACACAATGTTCTGTGAATGTTTTTTTTCTGAGTTCTTTTTTATGTTCTGTCTCCCTTTCTGATATTTCTCACACATTTCTTCTCCCTTCCCTTATATTCCCTTTCGCTATTATTCATATTCCCCAAATGAATGAGAACATACACTGTTTGTCCTTCTCCGGTTACTGTGGCCAAGTTCAAAAAGGGTGTTGCCTGAGTTCTCCTCTGGGATTTTGATGGAATCTTGTCTCACATTTAGATCTTTCATCTATTTTGAGTTTATCTTTGTGTATGGTGCAAGAGAGTGGTCCAGTTTCATTCTTCTGCATGTGGATGTCCAATTTTCCCAGCACCATTTATTGAAGAGACTGTCTTTCTTCTAGTGGATCGTCTTTCCTCCTTTATCGCATATTAGTTGAGCATAAAGTTCAGGGTCCACTTCTGGGTTCTCTGTTCTGTTCCATTGATCTATATGTCTGTTTTTGTGCCAGTACCACACTGACTTGATGAACACAGCTTTGTAGTACAACCTGAAATCTGGCATTGCGATGCCCCCAGATATGGTTTTCTTTTTTTAAAATTCCCCTGGCTGTTTGGGGTCTTTTCTGATTCCACACAAATCTTAAAATAATTTGTTCTAAGTCTCTGAAGAAAGTCCATGGTATTTTGATAGGGATTGCATTATACGTGTAAATTGCCCTGGGTAACATTGACATTTTCACAATATTAATTCTGCCAATCCATGAGCATGGAATATTTTTCCATCTCTTTGTGTCTTCCTCAATTTCTTTCAGAAGTGTTCTGTAGTTTTTAGGGTATATTTTGAGAACCATTTGAATGGTAAATGGTTCTCCAACCTTTTATTTTCAGGTTGTAGGTGTCCTTCTGTCTAAAATGAGTCTCTTGTAGACAGCAAATAGATGGGTCCTGTTTTTTTATCCAGTCTGAAACTCTGCGCCTTTTGATGGGGTCATTAAGCCCATTCACGTTCAGAGTTACTTGAACTTCTTCTTAAAGGGGAGTTTTAAGAGTCCCCCTTAAAATTTCTTGCAGAGCTGGTTTGGAGGTCACATATTCTTTCAGTTCCTGCCTGTCTTGGAAGCTCTTTATCTCTCCTTCCATTTTGAATGAGAGCCTTGCTGGATAAAGTATTCTTGGTTGCATGTTCTTCTCATTTAGGACCCTGAATATATCCTGCCAGCCCTTTCTGGCCTGCCACGTCTCTGTGGAGAGGTCTGCTGTTACCCTAATATTCCTCCCCATGAAAGTCAGGGACTTCTTGTCTCTTGCTGCTTTAAGGATCTTCTCTTTATCTTTGGAATTTGCAAGCTTCACTATTAGATGTCGAGGTGTTGAACGGTTTTTATTGATTTTAGGGGGGGATCTCTCTATTTCCTGGATCTGAATGCCTGTTTCCCTTCCCAGATTGGGAAAGTTTTCAGCTAGGATTTGTTCAAATACATATTCTGGCCCTCTGTCCCTTTCGGCGCCCTCAGGAACCCCAATTAAACGTAGGTTTTTCTTCCTCAGGCTGTCGTTTATTTGCCTTAATCTGTCTTCATGGTCCTTCAATTGTTTATCTCTTTTTTCCTCAGTTTCCCTCTTTGCCATTAACTTGTCTTCTATGTCACTCACTCGTTCTTCCACCTCGTTAACCCTCGTCGTTAGGACTTCTAGTTTGGATTGCATCTCATTCAATTGATTTTTAATTTCTGCCTGATTGGATCTAAATTCTGCAGTCATGAAGTCTCGTGAGGCCTTAATGCTTTTTTCTAGAGCCACCAGTAGCTGTATAATGGTGCTTCTGAATTGGCTTTCTGACATTGAAGTGTAATCCAGATTTTGTAACTCTGTGGGAGAGAGGGCTGTTTCTGATTCTTTCTTTTGAGTTGAGGTTTTCCTTCTAGTCATTTTGCTCAGTGCAGAGTGGCCAGAAACAAGTTGTATTGGAACACGGGGGAGTATCACTGGCCCCTCTAGCTGGTCTTCTGGGGGAGGGGCCTGTTGCGTTGATTTTCAGGTGTTAGCACTTGGGGGAGCTGCTCTGCCCCTGCCTGCTGCAGGGCTCTGCGGGGGTTGTTTACCCCGTCGGGCCCCAGGAGGAACAGCAGCAGTTGCTATGGCAACTCTGGAAGCCTGGATTCAGCCTCCGCAGGAACTACGGGGCTCGGGGCTCTCGGCTCTCCGTCCGCAGGGCCTGGAGGCTCCGGGGCGGGGCCGCTGATCTGCTCAGCTCGGGGCAGGAGCGTCCTCGCTGTCCTGGGCCCTCCCGGCCTCTGCCTGTCCCGGGGGAGGCCGGATCCTGGGCTGTGTCCCGGCGCCCTGTGCTCCGGGGCCTGCGCTGGTGGATTCGCGCTCCCGCCCCGCAGCCCCCTCCCTGGAGCCGCCTGAGTTCTTTAGAAACATTTCCTTTCTTGGTTTTAGCATTTCTCAATAGTTCAGTTAATTCATTTTCTTTTCTGCCTTTTTTTTGCAATAGTAAAAATTTAGATCAAACCTTCCAATAACACATCCTTGGTGCAATACTTTACAGGCAAAATCTTGTGTAATATCATAAAATAAGTGTGATTAGAAAGTACATGTGTGTAGACCCCATATTGTAGTGAAACGTCTTAGTACATGCACGCAGGTGGGTATCCACACAGAAATATTTCAGGGAAAGGTACAGGCTCGGGTCTGATTATGTCTGAGAAAAATGGCATTCTATCTGGTTTTTATTTAATTTCTGATTTTCAAAAATTTTTTTTCTTTTTAAGAATAAAACATACATTGCTAAGTGGTGAGTAAAGATGAAGGCAACAAGAGACACTGATAACAGTTTGCATATTTAGAGCGTCCAAACTAACCCTCGCCTGAATATATATATATATATTTTTTACTTTTCAAAAGCAATTTCTAGGCGCACGAGGCGGGAGCAAGGAATGAATTGGAAATGAAAATAATAGTAGGAAAAAAGTTAAATTCCTCCAGGGAAATAAGTCGCTAAAGCAACTAATTATGAATCCAAATCCCTGATGTCATTTTTGACCAAATTGCCACATTTACCAAATTTTTGCTGGTTTTCTTTCTTTTCTTTCTTTTTTTTTTTTTTTTTTTTGGAGGAGGTTCATCAGCCATCTCCTTGGTTGTTAACATGCTAACATGACTGTAAACTTCAGATACATCCGCCTGCACAGAGCTACCCAGGAATTAAGCCCAGCCCTGCAGCAGCTGGGGTCTCTGGTGAAGGGTGATGGTGTCAAGGGAGCCCATCATCGTTGCTGTGGCACTCACGCCCCTCCTCTGGGCACAGGTGGGGTGCACTCCCACCCTGTCCCTGCGTGAGTCCGGTGCATGCAGACGCAAGACGCCCAGATCGCGCTCAGGATGCTGCACCGCCTAGAGCATCAGCTCCCCTGGGAACAGGTGGGTCCCTCGGCCCCTGGCGCCCCCACCCTCCTGGTGAACGCACGCTTCCCAGACGGAGCTTGTGCTCCGCATGGCCCCACATCAGGGGCAGAGCCAGCCTCCGGCCTGAACCGCTTGGTAACGGCCTGCAGCATGCGGGGACCCGCAGGGACCCTCCAGGACCCCTGAGGCAGGGGAGATGCGCTTGGGGGCTGCCGGCCACGCAGCACGGCTGTGCAGGGGTTGGGGGCAGCCTGGACGCCTGCAGCAGCGCACTGTTCCCTGCAGGACCAGAGCCCACGCGAGCTCCACGTCCCAGGTCCGCTCCACCTCAGCGACCCGGGAAGGCGCTGAGTCCCCCCACCACCACAGTCAGGATCTGTATTCCCCCCGTTGTCCATGACGCCTCCCGGGTAACCGAGGAGGTCCCCTGCCAGGAAGGGGCCTGTACGGTCCCGCCTGAACTCAATCACTGGGCCAGTCCTCTCAGGAGAAGGTATGGCAATCCTGGGGAGCCTCTTGGATGCTTTGCCAGCAAGGGACTTGCTGACCAGGTGAGCCGGTCCCCAGAGACAGCAAACAACTCACCTGGGATCACACTTCCCAGATCCAAAGCAGCCCATCCAGAGCCCCTGTGCGGCTCTCACTCTCTGGCCACGAGCCCCCCACCCTCATCACCCAGGGTGGGTACCAGACAACCAGCCCCCTGCCCTTATCACCCCAGGGCAGGGCCCAGACAACCAGCACCCCACTCTCATCACCGCCAGGGCAGGTACTAGACAACCAGCACCCCGCCCTCATCACCTCAGGGCAGGTACCAGACAACCAGCCCCCCACCCCCATCACCCCAGGGCAGATACTAGACAAGCAGCACCCCCCCATCACCCCAAGGCAGGTAGACAACCAGCCCCCCTCCAGCAGTGTGAATTTGCCCAGTTGAGGCTCTTCTCTGGGCATTAACGCAGCTACAGTGCCTGTCAGGCTGCCGCTTTCCCTGGCCGAGCAGGGTTAACCCGCTGGCTTCTTAGATGCCCGAGGGCCTGAGGTAGGACAGCGTCCCCAGGGCTGGTCAGGGTACCCACTAGGTCTCCCTCAACATCCTGATGGCTGCACCCAGACATCCCTCCCACCGAGACCTCCGCTAGGCTCCTCAGCCCAAGCGCCGCGCTTGCCTCCCTGGCAAGGGCCACACTTGGCACACAGTCACAGCCCCCGTGCACCATCCCCCTGCCTGCCAACTGTGAGACTCTGAGCCTGGCTCCATTCCCACCTGCACCCTGCAGGGTGAGCCAAGAGGGCAGCCCTGCGTCTTCGCCACTGGCCTCTGCTCCAGATTCTTCCAGGATGGCATGAGGTGCAAGCGTCTCACACACCTGCACTCAAGGCTTCCAAACAAAGCCTAGTTTTCCTAAGACTAACTTCTCACAGAGACATTAGCGGGGACACAGATCCAGCCTGGACCCCGTGGAGCGGGATGGTGGCAAGTGACCATTGTGAAAAGAGCTAGGGACACAGGGACAAAGGAGAGACGGGAGCCACTGCTTCAGAAGCCGCCCCAGGGCCAGCTGCACAGTCGAGTGCAGACCTGGGAGGGCCTCGCGGAACACGATGAACTCACTCCCTGGACTCTACCCTCAAGCCTGGTCTCTCCTTCAACGGTGTTACCGACATCGGTAGTAGAACAGAATCATGAAACACTGGTGACGCCTCTGCAAAGCCTCCCAGCACGTGCACTGTGCAAATGGGGAAACCGAGTCCACCACATGCATGCAGCCAGCAAGCTCTGGCTACTGTAGGTCTGTCTCCACGGCAGTCGGTGTGGCCACCTTCACAGGACGTGCTCGGCGGGTGAAACAGCTAACAGGGTGTTTTCAACTATCGACGTAACTGGTCTGGGTAACAGGAATTATGCAACTGCCGATGAGCTGGCCTGCACATGTGGCTGGTCCACACACAGGGGCGTAGAGTGACTCCCAGTGGTTTCCAGATTGGCATCAAACACATTTGGAACGTCGCCACCACGGCCAGAGCCAGAGGGCGCGTCTTCACACAACACTCAGCTTCGCCCCTGTCGACCAGCCTCTCCCTCTGGTCTGTTATTATTTCTACGGACAAACGCCCTACAGGTAAGAGGCCTCCTCAGACGGAAAGGACAAGCTACGCTTAAAGAAGCCAACGGAGCAGGTGTCAAGACCTGACGCATCGCAAAGCACAAAACAACGAGAAAGGCTCTTACTAGGGTGCTTCTTTGCGTTTGCTTTACCTTCTTCTTTCGTCACCCCGAGGCAGCCCATCAGCTCTTGCACGGAGATGGATTTGTCGTTATTCACGTCACAGTATTCGACAAACTTCTTCACGCACTTTTTGGGCTTTGATTTTTTCCGAAGGAATCTCTTGAAGGGCTTAATCTCCTTTTTGCCAATGTCCCCGCTGGAGTTCTTATCGAGTAGCTTGAAGTACCAGTGGACCACCCTCTCCTCGAGGGTGTGGCTGGGGTCGGGTTCTGAGAGCCTGCAAGAGCACACAAGGTCGTCAGGCACGGCCGGCCTCTTCCCGGCCTCGCCTGTCTACGGAGGGCGCACCGTGCACCCCAACTCTCCTAGAAGGGGTGCCCCACTCATCACGCCTACAGCATGGGTGCCCAAGCCTGCGCGGTTCGCCATTCCGCAGAGCAATTTTTAAACATAATTTAGAGAAGGGAATTTAGCAAGAATACTTCACGCTGGTTTCAGAACTGCAGATGACACCATGAGCTTATACGTGCATATGACACGTCTTTAAGGACGGAAGCCCCCTTGTCCCAGGTTCTGGGCTCCAAGGAGCTGGCAGGTCAGCTTGGGGCCCCAAGGGTCTCAACTCCTGTAAGTGGGATTCACCAACAATCCCATTTTATACCACGGGGTAACGAAAGATGCAAGTAAAGATACATCTTAAAGAGGTAACTAGACCTCTTCCCTTGGATTAAAACAAAGTTTGATATTTTAAGATACAAATCACTAAAAACTCTCCCAGAAGATCTGGCTTTGTGCCACACCTGTGAAAATGTCCCAGATGTCAGAGCATGCCTTCTCCCTAAGGGGAAGAGGACAAATACAGGGCGTGAGCCCCTACGGGCCCTTTTGCTCCACTGGCTGCCACTGTCTAGACTCTACCGGCTTGGAGGAGCCCATGTTCCTGGGTGTGAAGGAAGTAACTTAGGAGAAATGCTCACGGGTATCGGGGCGTTGGGATACTACTGAGTATTTCCAGACTTTCAGGGGAGCTCTTCACACACCAGTTCATTTACTGCCTTCAATTCTACTTTTTCAGCTTAGAGCACTCTTTCCAAGAATGTGTCCACTTGAAATATAGGTCTCTTTTTTTTCTTTTTTTGCTTTCTTAAGCTTAATTTACTGCCCGATTATAACATTTTCTATTAGCATTGCCTTTCTTTTTCATTTTTTGAATCTCACTCCTAAGGAGAGAGACAGAGAGAGGAGAGCCCATCAGCTGAGGAGACCAGAAAGCTTTAGATCATCCAGAAGAGGCAAGATTATCAGGGCTTTGCAGGCAGGAGTGGGGAGCAAGGCCAGCGCTCGAGGAGATAAAAACAGAAAGATTCTCCTCCCTCTGAGAAGAAAGAGATAAATTGCTGTGAATTCTCAGGAGGGTCCAGTCTTGTGAAGTCAGGTCCAGGCAGCTCTGGGAGCTCCCTCACACCTGCAGGTAGCTACAGAAGAGCTTTGGGGAACCATAGAGGCTCAGCCCGAAGCCCAAGCCCACGCATGCAGAACACCTGCCATGTGTCCAGGGGGATCGCGTCCAGAGTCTCAGGGTCCCCCTTTGAGCAGTGTCAGCGTAAATAATGCCACTGTACACTTGGGTCTTAAGTTGGTAAGCCTTATGTTATGTGGGTTTTTCTATAGTAAATACATAGGGTATTGAAAACTTGAAATCCAACATTTTAATTCCAAGTATTAAAATTTACTTGATAGGAACACCTGGCTGGATTGGTGGATGAAGGTCTGCCTTTGGCTCAGGTCATAATCCTGGGGTCCTGGGATCGAGTCCCACATCGGGCTCTCTGCAGGGAGCCTGCTTCTCCCTCTGCCTGTGTCTCTGCCTCTTTCTGTGTCTCTCATGAATAAGTAAATAAAATCTTCTTTAAAAATAAAGCCTACTCAATAGCTCTGAAATGCAAACCCAAGGCTCAAAGCCATCAGAACCAAAGGCCCTGCCTCCTGCCTCCTGCCTCCCGCCCACCCACCTGCCACCACCTGGTGGGATGACTGGGATCACTGGTTCTGGCTCTGCCCACTGTGACACGGCCCTCAGCGGCTTAATTGCATCACAGGGAAAACCTGCTAAACAAATCACCCCCAGACACATGGAGCAACTTGAAATTTTGGGAGATGGCTCCTGCAGTGCTGAGAAGCTGACTTGCTCCAGAGACCTATCGGCTACACCGGCTTCCAGCTCTCAGGTTACTGGGGCTTATTCTCAGATCCTTACTTCACGTAGATGTAACGTACCTGCCAGAGGAAGAGGGGTCAGAGACTGCATGCACCATGTCGGTAGAGAGCGCGTCCAAGATGCTTGTCAGAAATTCATTCTTTTTGGCACCAGGACAACCTAAAGAAATAACGCACATACAATTTTTTTCATATTTCACAAAACCCACAGAGTAAAAGAGCTCTTTCTCTGTCATGGAAAGACAAGTTTAATATTTGGAAATTAGAGTGCTGGGGTACCTTAATATTAATGAGCTCAGGTGAATGGTCATTTGAGCACACTGCAATACATATATTGATTTTGGATCACAATTTTTTTAAAGGATTTATTTATTTGAGAGAGAGCATATGTGTATGTGCAGGCACGTGAGGGAGGGAGGGGCAAGTGGAGGGGGAGACAATCCTCAAACACACTCCCTACTGAGCGCAGAGCCGAAACTCAATCTCACGACCCATGAGACCATGACCTAAGTCAAAATCAAGAGTTGGACATCTGGCCAATGGAGTCACCCGGGCGCCCCTTTTGGATGATTCTTGTAAATGACAGTATCTAACATTTACTAAATCACTACACGGGATAAAGAGATTTGCAGCACTGATCATCCGCGCAGCAATCTCAGGTTGGTGCTGCCACTGGCCGACCTTGCATATGAAGTCCTGGCGCTCAGAAGCATCAGGAGGTGCCCTGAGGTCGCTCTGCTGGAGCAAGACGAGGCTGAGTCCAGAGACCACACAGGCTCAAGACTGACTGTATTTATGGGAAGCTCACCTTCCTACAACATCCTTTCCTGCAAGACACCACCCGGCCGGCAGTCCCAGTTCCCACAGACTCGCACGGCTGGGAACGCCCCAGACTCCCCACACTATTCTCCATCCTGTTCCAGGATGACGAGGACAAGAAGGGGAGCAGCAGGGGCCTGTTTTCCGGACGCTGGGCATGGGTAGGGTGGAGGTGCTGTCAGGGCAGGCTGGTCATCCAGACAACGACATGCTATGCCGTCACACGCGCTCCGGTTTTCATAAATTTCCCCCCTGACAATTGAGTTTCTGGTATAATTGTGTAAGTACTTGCTAGTTGCTGATAGCAGGAGTCCATTCACGCCGGTCTCCACCGCATTACATACACATATCAGAGAACAGATGTGAGTCCCCATCGGGGAGAGGAAGATAACAGTGAGGCAACTGAAAGGGTAGGTTCTACTCTGGAGGGAAAATGCACACCACTGGGAGAATGTTCCTTTTGAATAAAAATAATGGTCTACTTAGCTATTCTCTCTGGGAGGCTGCAGGTGTGTTGCACGTGATCTGGAACCCGGGAGAACCTCCTGCATCCGGCCAGAGGACCGCGGCCTCAGCGGAGGCTCTCAAGGGCAGTGAAGCTGTGAGCGATAGGACTGGTGGCTGCTGGACTGAATAGGACAACAGGCCGAACGGGCTCCCTGCCCCGGAGGGGCTGGTCGGGAGCCCTGCTGCCCAGGAGAACTCATCCAGCTCAGACAGGCACCAACGCGCAGGAGCGTCTTGGGGTGTGTGTGTGTGTGGGGGGTGGGGAAACAACCAACTGGCCCCAATGCCCCGGGTGCCTGCAGACCCCGATCCCTGGGATCCCCACCACTCATGAGCCTCAACACATCCGGGGAGGCACGTGCTGAAGGTGAGGAAGACCGCGAGGTCTGGGAAGGCCTAGCATGTGGCTGATGCTCAGCACAGAGCGGCTTTAGGAAAGGACGGTGCTTGTGTTGTGTGTGGAGGGCATGACCTCAGAGGGGACACAGCCAGCTGGTGTTTCTGCTGCTACCGTAATCACACACCCCCACACGGAGTAAAGCTGCACGCAGTTTCTAGTCAGAAATGACACCTATACTTTGGGAAACCAAAACTGCGGGCATGAGAAAGATTTAGGATTCTTTCATGCAAAAAAGAGTTAAAGCAAATGCTTAATTTACTTCTAAAACAAGAAATACTACATCAGTCCCGCTAAAGCCCTTTCTTGCTGTTACGTAACACAGACTGAATGGCACCGGTCTTCCTGCGTGGGTATGGGCTCTACTTTGTAGTTCAGAGGTACTTTGGTCCAAAAAAGAACACTTTTCACTTTTATTTGCAAAGACGTTGAACTTCCTTTTAAACAAAGAAAATAAAAACAAAGTTGTTCTCAGAAAGACAAAGCCGCCACACCTGCAAAGCTTCCTGGAGGCGAGCTCGGTCCTGCACTCCGAGGCCCGCGCAACGGCTACACTTAGCAGGGTCTGCACACACCAGTCCGCCTGCGGGGGGCACGCTCAGGCCACACGTGGCACTCACCCCACAGATACTCGCTGAGACCCTAACAAACGTGCTGGGTCCACGGTAGCCGTCGCAGCAGATGGAGTGGGCGTCCTGAGTCTGGCAGGACCTGGCAGGACCAGGCTCCTGACCTCCCTGGACTTGGGGAGCCGGGGGTAAGCATGTGGGAATGGGGGTGCCATGTCCCAATTATGGGGAACACAGTCCCATGGTCCCTGAGAGTCCATCGGCTTGAGGGGCAGAGGAGGGGAGGCAGCTGGGGGAAGGGGCCCGGCCTCCACTTACTGTCCCCGTCCAGGTGCCGTCGCCTTGTTCAGTGGCTACTTTTGAGAGGACGCCCCTCTTGGAGCGGAGAGTCCTTGCCCTAGTCACCCTGGAATGCTGTTTGTCACTGCAGGACATGGATCGATCATAGCTCAAAGCCATTTCTCAGGAAAGAAGGCAAATGAAAATGTAAAACAAGACGAAATCAGAAGGAAAAAATTCAGAGCTCTTTGAGCAAATTCTCATCACATGTAAAGTGACAGAAGCGCGAAATGGAAATGTGAAACAGACCAGGTCCTGCAAATGTACAAAAGCAGTGACGGGTCCGAGGCAGAGGGAGCGCGTCCCCAAGGTGCAGGGGGTGGGGTCCTCCCAACGGGGAAGCAGGGACACAGGCTCCGTCTCTGTGCCGAGGGCCACTGGTCAGAGCCACACAGGCGGGGGCCGTGGTGGTGGTGAGGGCTTCTGGGGCCCGCAGACCCATGTGCACGGGGCCTCTGGGGCCTGGGGGGCCACGTGCCAACAGGATGACCCCCAACAACGGGCCCAGGGGCCCTGGCTCCGTGCTCACCTCCTTCTCCCCCTGCACAGCAGGCCCCGGGACAGCTCCACGGCCGCCCTGAAGCTGTTGCTGCTAAAACCACAGCCTGCAAGGCTCGACGATGGTGACACCGTCACTGTTTATGTCAGGACAGCTGTCGGCCGAGTGTGAAGCTGGCCCGGAGGCACAGTGCAGGGTGGCCCCACGAGGCGCGCAGGCGTGGTGTCCACGGGCAGACGGCTCGCAGCCACTTAGAGACGCGCTTGTAGGGAAAGAGGAAACCACACTGACCTTCTCAAAGCTGCAAGCAGTCACTACACTAATTTATTTACAAATCTGTGGCGAAACAGAGCATGTGGCTTAGCCTGAAGATGCTCTGTTGATCCCATTTATCTGCAGAATCCAAGTAAAATCGTTGGCACCCAATTCGGTTTCCGTGAAAACACTTGAGTGCTAATCCTGGTTTGGGACCGCAGTGCGTACACTTCACTGTCCAGTGGCCACTGTCGTTGCTCTACAGCCGCTCACCCAGGCCACAGACGCGCTCAGTCAGCCGCCCACGTCCACCCACCGCCTGGCTCTCGGGGGCGCCCGGTTAAGGTTGGGACACTTTAAAGATCACTTGATTTGCTGCCTTTCAAAATGAGCGAGTTCCTCACTTCCTGTGAAACATCCTTATTTTCAAAAACAGAAGCTTTTTGTCTGGAAATTACCATTTTCTTCTCTTCCATTTCTCTTTCAAACAGAAATTGATGCATCTTCAGGACTTCTGCCCCAATCACATCCTAACACCGCTCTCTGAATCAGCGCTAGCGGGAGTCCCTTCCTTGCTGGCACCTGCCACACCCGGGACAGCCGCCGAGTGGGGAATGATGGCTGCTTCCCCAGACCTCCGTCAAGAGGAAAGCATTATATGGAGAAAACCCATATTTTCGGACCCATGTCAGCCGACCCTGACCCATGGGTGTGGTCTGAGCCCTGCCCAACAGGTGATCACGTGAGTTCCTGGGTCAGCAAAGTGGGAAGGGCACCAGGCCTATCCACTGGGTTCTTCTTTCAGAGTAGGTGGCCTTGTGGCGTAACTGACTCACCAGCTCTCAGGCATCTACAGCGAATGCCTTCGAGTTTGGGCTCAGGTTTGTACCCGGTTGTACGTTTGTTACTTCGCATGTACAGGGCACAGACATAGGCGATCGTTTACAACAACAAGAAATAAAATCTCTTTGATATTCATTGTTTAAAACACAAAATCTGGCACGGACAAGACGGAAATGTGTAGAGCACCCAACCCACACTGCTGGTGAAGCAAGAGCATCAGAGACACGGAGAGAAGCACAGAGCGGAGAGGCTCTGGAGTCACGGCACTGCCGCCAAGTATGAATACTGCACCATTCCCACATGCACCGGCCCTCCCCAGGGGCGGACGGAGCCAGAGCGTCTGCAATGGAGCAGAGGCTGGAGAGCTCAGTAGGAGGGGAGCAGGACCCCAGTCTGCGGGGTGCCGGGAGCCACAGGAAGAAACTCGGGGGGATTTGCAGGTAACACAGTCTGACTTATGGTCTCAGAGTGACACATGGTCACCATGGTCCAGGGACAGGGTTACTGAGAGGGATGCCAGGGTAGACCACCAAGGCCTCCAGGGATGACCTCAGAGGGAATCAGGGAGGACACAGCACTCCGGGGTTGGGGGGGGTGTGGGCAGGGAGTGTCCCAGCTGGGGTTAACTCAGGCCTCAACACAGCAAGTATGTAGAGAATGTCCTTTGCAAGACATGGGCTTCCATTCACTCCTCAAAGCCCACCCTTGCAGAGGGACTCAGGCCCTGCCTGCAGCCACAGAAGGAAGAGAGGGTCCAGCCTGGCACTGGGGTCTGAGCCCTGCTTTGCGATGACACAGACAAGGGCCCCCTGCCTCCAAGAAGCACATCCTTATTAATGCTTTTGTGAGGCTCACAGATTTCAGAGTCCATACTGGAAACCATCAGCGAGGGTCCACTCTCAGAAAAAAGTCTTTAGGAAAAAAAAAAAAAA